CTGACAATCATACAAACTACTATGTCGTAGAATAAGAATTTCACTCACTATGGTTCGAATAATGTGATAAAGGACTGTTTAGCGAATTTTCCCACAAGGCTACCAAAAGGCCCAGCGTTTCTGCTGAATTTCATATAGCCTTGCTTCTCAAAAGGTATTCTCATCCGAAGCTGGAAATTAATCTGAGGACTCCGAATACGGTGCATTCGTCTAGGTCACCCTGACAACAAGACCAAGTAGCAAAAAGGAGATCAAGCCAATTCCAAATGCTGATTGGCAGGTAAACAACCGTGGCCATATCCACATCCTTTTCATAAATCATCTTGACCCATCTGCAATAATTAAATAAAAAGTAACTGGGTTTCTATTAGTCCCCTCAGATAATATTGTTGAGAAGACTTTGATTTTGTAATGAAAGGAATTAAGAAGAGATTAGAAGGTCGATCTCATTAGAAGACGACGGCTGATTCTCGTTGTACTGCAGCCGTTTGGCTTTAAAATGGCGTTCAGGTTGACGGAGTCCATAAAATATTCTTCCTCATTTCGTGCTAAATGGACTGCGTTGACATCCACCATATGAAGGAAGCCTTAGTAACCAATTATAAGCCAGAAAGACATGTAATATGTTTATTAAAGAGAATATCGATATAGACCGTTATTATTAAGCTTACCTTCAAGCTCAATGATGAATCTATCATATTCGTGTTCCAATTGCTCTATCTGTAATCAAAATATATAAAAATAATAGTATTATTTATGAGGCCTAACTTGTGAGTTCCTATAGTCGACAAAATAGTCAAATTCGATTTGGTGATAGGGTTTTTAGAAAATTAAAATAGGAAAAAAATCAAAGGTTTCTCTTCTCATAAGATCATCTGGCATTTCGAATAATAGAATTACATCTGGCAAAGAAAAGTGAGGGCATGAACTTTGAGTATATTTTATAAACGAATTATGACAGAAAAGCTCGCATAGGCTCAACAACGATATTGGCTATAAGATCTAGCAAATCCATAAATAAGAACGTGATACAAACACACAAAGTTTTAAAATTCATGGGCTGAATTATAAGATATATCCTCATTGCAAAGCATGTCTTAGTTCACATATGAGTAGGGAAGTTGGTAAAATAAGGTGCTATTCTGAAGAATTTTTTTCCCATGATGGAATCTAGATGTTTAATATAATTTTAGGTTTAGGCGTAAAATATATTAAAGTGGATATGAAAATTATGTTGTCCTTAGCCTGCTTTCAGTCTCTTTTCTTGCTATAGACCTAGCTCAACATCGCTTCCGCAACTTAAACGTGTTTTCAAGGGGATTTTAAAGAACCTAGACCACAAGGCTTGATTCCAGCATTGGTCTGTCGCCTAAATACATTGTAAGACATTCGGCCAATATCGTAGTCTGCATCCTCAGTTAACAACGCTAGTCTTGGCAGCAAGTAAATATTTACTTTACTTTTCTATAAATGTTGTATCCTCTTTTATAGTTCCCACTTCAAATGATTACTTAATTCCAATATTCATACGATTATAATGGATAAAACAACGTTTTCAAAAGCTTATCCAATGACCATAAAATGCCCTGATGTTTTTGTATCAGCTGCAACGATTGTGAGCAAAGGTACATTCAAGAAATGGAAAGAACGATCAGCATAAGGATTAAAGAACACGTGACTCTGCTGAATAATGAACAAGGAGAAATAGCAGAATATATTCCACTGGCGAACCAAAAGGTCTAGGAATTTATACAATGTACTGTCCGATTTTGAAATAACACATAACAACACCTGTAGAAGATGCAGTAAGGTATACGTTCCTCAAAGCCACCTCGATGATAAGGTCATTTCTAGTCAATATTTATTTGGCCTCATAAGCTTATATGTTGATTAATAGTTCCCAATGTTCCATTCAGAATCAAATTTGAAGTGGGGCTAAGACCATAAATAACTTGTTTTTACCACTGAACATAATACTATACTCAAAGTATTGATAATATTTTATTGTAGAAATCTGACATGTTTTGGCTCACCTTTCGATCTAAGACCTGTTAGTTAATTTTTTCACGAGTAGAAATCCACCATACCTAGTATCCAAACAATTAATTATAGGACTTAAGGGAGATAAAAATGAAGTATAATTAATTTGACGAATTAGACCAGCTTTCAAAGCAACCAGGCCCCAAAACGCAGAATTACTTTCAAACAACTTTTCTCATAAGTTATACTTTAATATTTTCGACTGAATTCTGCTTATGAACTGGAGAGTGGCTAGTTGATGGTCAGTTTGATTCCATTCTTCAAGGCTAATGGTTAATGAGCATAATTTCTGACTCCTTAAGGGGGCATAGAATGAGCCGTAACAAAATATCAAAGGTAGATTCGTGGTAAAGATGAAGTTGTAAGGCGATATACTAGAATGGGTGGATTTGAATAAAGAGAAAGCCAGGTAAACGAGTTGAGACGAGAGATGGATAAAGAAGGACAACAGGGAACGAAGACGAGGCACAAATAGGCCAACCCAATTACTGACTGAAGTCTAGAGAATAATTTGCAGGCTGTGATAAGGTTAGAAACGATGAAAACAAATAAAGTGATCTAGTTAAATATATGTTTTTGAGCAAATCAGTGATAAGGTCATTTCTATGCAGTAAGGGATACGTTCCTTAAAGCCACCTCGATGATAACGTCATTTCTAGTCAATATTTATTTGGCCTCATAAGCTGATATGTTGATTAATAGTTCCCAATGTCCCCTTGAAACTATGGGAAATCGGAATATTAGTAGAGCCGAGAAGAGTTCTCTTGGGAGGCAAGGCTAAAATTCAATATTATGGTAATCCCTTGCCTACATTTCATCAGGCTTTCTATTAACTAAAGTGGCCCGAGGTGATGCTTCGAAATTTGCCCACACATTTTTACGAAGAGTAGCTAGATTTGAATGAATATTTTGAGATTCATTTCGTATGAAAGTGCAGTATGAAGAGATTCGAAGGTCTTCCTCGCCGGAATGCGACTGCTGATTCCCGTTGTTCTGCAACATTTTGGCTCCAATACAACGTTCAGGTTGACGCAATCTACGAGATCGCATTCCTCGTTTCGAAAAAAAACAGACTGAGTTTTCGCCGTCATATGACGGACATCGTTAAATCTGGATCTCATGTTTGCAGTCAACAGTAAATAAATAAGTCTAAGGAGAACGATGACCAGTCGTCTTTTGGCAAAAACGAACTAAGAAGATCTTCATCTTGCACATTCATACAAGATTTTAAGTCTACATTCATTAAGTTTTACCCGATTTTATGCATTAACTCAGGCCTGAACCATGCTCTTGCCTGCCTGATAGCCTTGCCGAACATGCAATCAACACACAATAAACCCCCTTAGAAGTGTCAAACCTGCATTAGAAGCCTGCAATTGGTTTAGAGAGTTGTACTCGCCCAGTTTATAATTCTATCAGTGCCCCCAATCATCGTTTGATTCAATATGCAATGGCTGAGTCATCCTTGTGAAGTGACCACAACACGCTATTACTTGCTCCAGGGCTATGGGGTTACTTAGCTCTTTTGCACCACGCTCTGCCAAGTTCGGTTGGATGAACGGTCATTCGGAGCTTGTCGCACATTTGCCTTTAGGAGGTGGTTTAGGGCAGGTTATAGCATCGATCGGAAGCCGAGTTGGATGTTTCGTCTTCAGCATTGCTTCCACCGACAAGTCTATCTGTGTCGTTGCGCATAAGCACACGCTTCTGAGGCCAGAGTTTATGTGCTGTCAACGCGTTCACATCATCTCACAAACTCCATCTTACGCACATGTAATTCTACTCTCTTTCTCTCGCTCTTAAGTAGACACTCTTGGCTTCGATATCGAGCCGTCTCTGTCGCTCCGAGCATGACTCAGACCTTCCGGAGTGTGCAAAGGCTTAAAAAGAAAAGCAACCTATCGGCCCTGGGTCTGCCTCGTCGACGTCGCTCCGCCTCCGGATCTCGGTTTTCTTCTCGTCGGTCTCCTAACATGTCTGAAGGGACACTAATTATTCAGTGCTGCTTTTATGACTTCGATAGTCTGCCTTCTTGTCTAGCCTCAGTCTGCAATCCGTCCTGCGTCTGGTGCCATACGAGCCTTAGACCTTCGTAACGACAGTACCATAAATTACGGCAGAATTCAACAATTTGCTGCGATAACGCTTTCGCAAGCAAACACCATTCAAACTTAAACTGTAATAAAATAGATGGGCTTGCACGGTCGATACGCTCCGCGTCGGAAGTTGGTATTACAGGCCCAGTCTTTCCTCTTATAGTCACCTTTTTATGATAACGTAATTAATCACTTTTCGAGTCTTATGTCTATACAACTTAAAAAATAGC